ATATGAAGTGTAGGGGAGAAAATAAATTCACAACATGAAGTGTAGGGGAGAAAATAAGTTCACAATATAAAGGGTTGAGAAAAAATAAGTTCACAATATGAAGTGTAGAGAACAAAACAAGTTCACAATATGAAGAGTGGAGAACAAAACAAGTTCACAATATGAAGAGTAGAGAACAAAATAAATTCACAATATCAAGTGTAGAGAACAAAATAAGTTCACAATGTAAAGGGTTGAGAACATAAGTTCCCAATATGAAGTGTAGGGGAGAAACATTCACAATATCAAGTGTAGAGAACAAAAGCTCACAATATGAAGCATAGAGAACAAAATAAGTTCACAATTTGAAATGTGGAGAACAAAATAAGTTCACAATATGAAGTGTAGGGGAGAAAATAAATTCACAATATGAAGTGTATAGAACAAAACAAGTTCACAATATGAAGTGCAGAGAACAAGAGTTCACAATATGAAGAGTAGAGAACAAAATAAATTCACAATATCAAGTGCGGAAAACAAAATAAGTTCACAATATAAAGGGTTGAGAACCAAAATAAGTTCACAATATAAAGGGTTGAGAACATAAGTTCCCAATATGAAGTGTAGGGGAGAAAAATTCACAATATCAAGTGTAGAGAACAAAAGTTCACAATATGAAGTGTAGGGGAGAAAATAAATGAACAAAACAAGTTCACAATATGAAGTCTAGAGAACAAAATAAGTTCACAATATGAAGTGTAGGGGAGAAAACAAGTTCAGAATATGAAGTGTAGAGAATAAAACGTTCACAATATGAAGAGTAGGGGAGAAAACAAGTTCACAATATGAAGTGTAGAGAACAAAATATGTTCACAATATGAAGTGTAGGGAGAAAATAAGTTCACAATATGAAGCATACAGAACAAAACAAGTTCAAAATATGAAGTGTAGAGGAGAAAATAAGTTAACAATATGAAGTGTAGGGGAGAAAATGTGTTCACAATATGAAACATACAGAACAAAACAAGTTCACAATATGAAGTGTAGAGGAGAAAATAAGTTAACAATATGAAATGTGGAGAAGAAAACAAGTTCACAATATGAAGTGTAGGGGAGAAAATAAATGAACAAAACAAGTTCACAATATGAAGTGTAGAGAACAAAATAAGTTCACAATATGAACTGTACGGGAGAAAATAAGTTTACAATATGAAGTGTAGGGGAGAAAATAAGTTCACAATATAAAGGGTTGAGAACATAAGTTCCCAATATGAAGTGTAGGGGAGAAAAATTCACAATATCAAGTGTAGAGAACGAAAGTTCACAATATGAAGTGTAGGGGAGAAAATAAATTCACAACATGAAGTGTAGGGGAGAAAATAAGTACACAATATAAACGGTTGAGAACATAAGTTCCCAATATGAAGTGTAGGGGAGAAAAATTCACAATATCAAGTGTAGAGAAAAAATAAGTTCACAATATGAAGTGTAGAGAACAAAACAAGTTCACAATATGAAGAGTAGAGAACAAAACAAGTTCACAATATGAAGAGTAGAGAACAAAA